TCACTTTTGTTCATATTGTCCCACCATGTTGCTGCCTTTAAAAATGTGTTGTATATATAACCTAGATTATGTCCCTATAAAGTGAGTTTGTAACGACTCCCTCATGAGCTTAGCAAAAGTATGTCTAGACAATTTTTTTTGGCTTTTCCTCCCAAACTTCTTTGGGTTAAAAATAGGGAAGGATTTGTTTTAATACAGTGTAGTACTGTATCTTTAACCTTTTGTCCAAACGCATATTGCCTGTTTAAGTTTTATTTAGAGAAAGTGTGTAACTTATAAACCAGCTCACTCAGACCTTGGGGCCGCCCCTGGCTGGTCTTCCTGCTGCCCGTGGATTAGCCAAGTCTCCAGAAGTGTTTTACAGGAAGCTTAGGCAGAGGGAAGCACTTAATTATTATCCAAATTTTTCCCTTTAGTTAAGTCTTACGGTAAGATATCCCAGAGATTATATTTTTAGCAACCACTTTAAAGAGACTGGGGAGATTAATTTAAAATTGATAATCGCATGGCAGCACCACAGCCTAACAAGCTCAAGGTCTGCCTTGTGGAGCTGGCTGCTCTCTGGGGACCCCAGTTCAATTCTCTTTGCTGCCAGTAGAAATCAGAAATCACAACCGCAGTGATTAGCAGTGAATTCCCTGATCTCCCTGCCCCAGGCAGAGAGAGAGGGGCCTGTTTTCTAAGTAGCCGGTCGTTAACTCTTTCATGGGAGGGCGGAGGCAGAGGAAGTGATTCATGGGTGTGAGGTGGGGCCTAGTAATCTACACCTTTACAGAAACTGCCCAGGTACTGCTGAGAGTCATCAGCTTTAGGAGCCTCTGTTGTGGGGGGAGTAGTGGAGAGTGAGTGAAGAAAGAGCCTTTTGGGCCCATCCAAGGCTGCCCTCCAGGCACCATGACCGCTGAAACCCGCACTGCACAGCTCAGGCCTCTGCCGAGCCACTCTGTCCATCTGGGCGAGCCTTTCTTTGTGGAAGAAAGCAAAGAAGCCTGCCTTCTGCCCCTCTTCCAGCTTTCTTCTTTTAAAAATGGCCTCTGGCTACCAAGTGGACGATTATGGATAGCTCTGTAGAGCAGCGGTAAGCAGTGTTAATTAGCTGCAGGATATCAGAAACAAAAATGAAAATATTTTCCCTGCGGGCCAAACAAAATTAATTTTAAAAATTAATGTAAACCACTAATGCTGCAAGTGCCCCCATTAAATTCCGGGACTGTGACATGTACAATGCTATATTTTTGCCATTGAATTTGCTATCTAAGAGGTGTTCATTGTTTGTTACGGTGTGAAAAGCTGTTTTCCTCCAGATAAGCTTGTTCATTAGGAAACTGGATCTCTGCCACCACCCTGTTTCTTCGCACTGAAGTAATGCCCTGTAGCATAAATGTAGACAGCCGCTCTGCATTTAATATCAGAAATGTAAATCAAAAGCGTCCAGTCTGGTTTTAAATGGCTTCAGTCTTTCCCAGGGTGAAATCTGGGGAAAAAAATTCTTCTCTGTGCAGCTTCTGACACCACTGCTTTAGCAGACAGGCCCTGAAAGCAGGCTGATAATTATTAAACAAAGTATCTTGTTTCCCACTGAGGTCTCCGGATCGCTCTGTCATTAGACTGGATTTATTTCTAGGGTTTCATTCACGCTGTGACAGCTTGGGATTTATAAGTTCTGTGTTTTAATTTCAGGCAGAAATGAAACTGGTCAAATGCAATTTGGGAGGGGGAACAACCCTTGATAAAAGGTCTGTGCATCCTAATGCCTAAATACAGAGCCGGAATAAAGAAGGCATCTTGGGTGGCGGGCTGCGACTTCAGCCACAGCCACCAGCGAACTTGAGCCAGCCCTGGGGGCAGTACAGAGACAGGCCCAGAACGCCATGCTTAGTGCAGCCCCAGAGCACCCCTTCACACCACAGGCCCCTGTTCCAGGGAGGCGAGTGCTGGCCTTGCTCTGAAGAAGGAAGGGGGCGGCAAACAGGAGGAATCCCTCGTCCTGCCAGCCAGGAAGGGCGTGTGCTGGGGCAGTGACTGAAAACTTCAGTGTTTCTCTGGCTCTGTCTTCGTTCCAGAAGCTCTGGTACACAGGTGGAAGCCTGGCCTCACCCAGCCAGGAACACATAGGTTCTCCTTGCGCCTCTGCACCCTGCTTTTCAAGGCGTTGAGTAAGCTCAGTGTCTGATTTCTTTTTTTCAAAGGGAAACCAAAATTACTAACTCCTCTGATATCCTTTTTGGCTCCTATTTACTTATTTAGCAAGGATCTAATTCAGCACTATTTCTAATCTGAGGGGTGCGTTGGTAACCAGTTGGGAGCTGAGAGAAAACCTGATTGGCAGTAAGCTCATTTCCATAGAAACAGGCCAATTAAGATGCTGTGTGAAAAAGGAGTGGAGAGCCTTGACCAGTCAACTTTTGGGGGTCGTGCAGGGGGCAAACTGTCCCTGCCCTGCTGTGGAAACAGCTGGACTGACACACAGAAAGGAGGCTCTAGTCCTCTGGGGGGCGCTGTGGCTTTCTGCGGGGCTGCTGGTGTTCTCTTGTGCTCAGAGCACTTTACAACACAGGCCTGAAACACACCAGGAGGGTCTCAAGAGCTACACTCCCCCTTCTCTTCCAGAATCCCCATTTGACTAACCAAGAAACTGAGGTTCTCATTAATGACTTTTCTGCCAAAAGAGGCACAAACCAATGGACTCATTCCAAGAGGCCCATCAGATGTTGTGATGTGAGAGGCTTCTAGTCAGTCATACGGATCGCATATATTAACACAGGAACTCATCTGCCGTCACCACGGTGACCATAGGTCCTGGTTTGCCTCAAACAGCCCCAGTTTATGCCTGCTGTAGTTGTTAACAGTGGATATCTTCACTCTTAAAAGTATCCGAGTTTGAATTCTGTGGGATATGATCACCCTCGCTATTACCCACAATCTAGCCAGTTTGTTCAAGGCAAATAACCCCTAATGGACCCAGTGAATTAGAATCTCTTGTTTAAAAGTTGTGGACGGCTACATGTGGGACAAAAGCAATGAAATAAAGTTTTATTTATTTAGGAGACAGTGTCTTGCTCTGTCACCCAGACTGGAGTGCAGTGGTGCGATCTCAGCTCACTGCAGCCTCTACCTCCCGGGTTCAAGCTATTCTCCTGCCTCAGCCCCAAGTAGCTGGGATTACAAGCATGTGCCACCATAAATAAAAAAATAGCTGGCTGATTTTTGTATTTTTAGTACAGACGGAGTTTCACCTTGTTGGCCAGGCTGGTCTCGAACTTCTGACCTCAAGTGATCCTCCCGCCTCAGCCTCCCCAAGTGCTGGGATTACAGGCGTGAGCCACTGCGCCCAGCCAAAATAAAGTTTTAAAACACTCGAAACAATGCTACATGGTGTTTGTATCCTATGTACAAATATAGCAAAAGTATAAATACCATACTGTGCATGATAAATATCAAATTGGTGAGTGTGTGCCCTGCAGGGAGATATCTGAAATATATATTTCTCAAGCTATATGGTGGCTTTACAGGTTTTCCTTACATGTATTCTCATGTTATCCTATACTTTTCCTGTAGTCCAAAAATATTTCATAATTTAAAAACAAGCAAGCAGGCCTTCAGGATAATTCTGATTAGGCCAATGGAGAATGGTTTCATTACAGTAGGGGAGTGTATTTGTTTGGGTGCATGTAAGGAAGGGAAGGATTCTATTTAGGGTTAAACATCTCAAGAACTGCTCCAGGAAATGATGTGATTGGGGGCATGACTGAAACTTTGCATTGTACTCTGGGATAGAACTGGTAGACAGGCACTCCAGAAAGCACGGGATGCCTGCCCTTTGCACTGATGTTTCTCAAGTTCTCAACACTAAGGCTTGCATCCTGAACTCTGGTGTGGGAAAGCTAGCTGCATATTTGCATTCTGGGTGGATTTGCCTCCGGAGAGGCTGCTGTTCAGTCCCATTCAGTTTGCAGGTTCACACTTACTGTTCCTGTCCTTGAAGTCAGCACTTGTCCACAGATTTTCCTAATTTCTCTATTTTACTCTTCCTCCAACAATTAAAACTTTGTCTTCACTACTTGCAGGAAACAGAGGAAGGAGGCACACAGTGTGATACACAGTCTTAGGTTGATGTCTGTTTTCAAACATATTTTTGGAATCTCCATTTGAGTAGTTTAAGTCTAATTCCAGTCATACCAACTGGCTTATAAAAGCCACCAGGAATGGGTAAAATTGCCTCAGAATGGGAAGGGAACAGCATTCCATATGGCAAGGGGTTTTTCTTTTTTCCTTTTTGAGACAGAATCTTGCTCTGTTACCAGGCTGGAATGCAGTGATGCCATCACGGCTCACTGCAGCATCAACCCCCTGGGCTCAAACAACCCTCCCACCTCTGCCTCCCGAGGAGCTGGAACAACAGGCACACACCACCATGCCCAGCTGATTTTTTAACTTTTTGTAGAGATAGGGTCTCACTATGCTGCCAGGCTGTTCCTGATTTCTTGGGCTCAGGAGATTCTCCCATCCCAGCCTCCCGGAGTATTGGAATGACAGGCATGAGCCACCACGCCTGCCCAGGAAGGGATTTTTCAAGAGGAAATGAGACAGAAAGAGTTCGGACTGAGTACACATCTTTCTCTACCCTTAATGATGTTTGTTAGCACTGCATCACCTGGCCTAGATGGTCCTTGGCAACTAGGTGATGGATCTGAGTATTTCACACTGCAGTACCTGTATACAGGTAATCTGTACACAGCAAGTGATTCCCATAAGCTCCTTGACAATAACAGCAATAATAACCTTTACTCAGCATATGCTGCATCCCAGGCACTTCAGTGCAACACTTTATATGACTTTCTGTCTTCCATTCTCACAGTCACCCTTTGAGGTGGGTATTAGGATGAACCATATAAAACTGCCATTTTTGTAGGTCAAAAACAGTCAAATATTGGTAATTGTATGTGGTCAAATCTAATAATCTTTTTGTAATAAAAAACAGTCAAATATTAGCAGTCCTGTATGGTTCAATCTGATCATCTTATTGTATTTGTTTTGCAAATAGAGAAATTCAGACATTGAAACTTGCTCAAAGTCCACCCATCTAGCAGGTGCCAGAACTGGAATTTGAACAAGGCAGTCCCCTCCACACCCTCACACTGAACTGCCGCACTGTGCTGTCTCCTTGAGTGGAAGGAAAAGGCATATTTTTGTGGCCTAGGTGTTCAAATAGGTTCTTCAACAACATCTCGGCCAACTTTGAGATCAAAGATGGTTGATCAGATGAATCAAATGTTTCCTGGAGTCTTGGGTTACACTCGTAATGCTCTGTTTAAAAGGAATGATAAGTAGTGAGCACACCAGAAATCTGGAAGATGGAAAATCTCTCTTTAGGATCTCTGCTCCTCTCTCGAGCAAAGAAAGAAATCGGTGTGGTGCCAGCAGAGGTGTTCTCAGCAGGACCTGGCCCATTAAATGAAAGACTTCCATGCTGAGCCAATCAAGAGAGACCTGGACAAAAATCAGACTCTTTCCTGCCCTGGAAACCCATGCCTTGAATCTGTAATTCATCTGTTAAATCAAGTGTGCAGCCGGTGGTTTAGCACAGAGGGGGATGACGGGGAAGGGAAGAGAGAGGGGCAGGAGCTGCAGCACTTGAATTTCCAGCATCAGAGTCCAGTTAAGGAAAAGAAACAGGGCTGTGATAGCTTCTTGGACCTTATGTTTCCAGCAAAGAGAAAGCAGCAGGAAAGATTTTTGCAAACAGATGAGCTGGTGGAAGGTATTAGAACAATGGCGGAAGAGGCAGGGACCCCAGGGGCTGAACAAAACACAGTTCCGCTGTTGCCTTTCAACAAGACTGAATAAAGTTTAGGATTTTTTTTTTATGGGACTTGTAGCCGTTTTTAAACTTTCATTTTTCATAATGTCACAGATAATCTTTTTATCTATTATCCACTGGCTCTTTTCTGAGAGGCATTTGCATCAAATAGTGCTGCACAGATCATGACTGTCTCTAGTGGGGAAAGCAGCTTGAAATGAAAGGTTATTCACTCCCTCTGCTTTCGCTGGCTTTGTTCTTGATTCTCACACATTTTTTTACATCTGAATTCGGGTATTTCTGGAGTTTTTCTTTAGAAACCCTTCCATTCTGAGATCTAAGCATATTCAGACTCCGATCTATATATCAGGGGTTACAAAGCTTATGCCTACTGAAAGTGAAGCATGTACTTTGAAACACGTTGGATGCCCCATGGTTTCCAAAATCCCTTCAGAGCATTTCCTACAGAGGCAGCAACCATAAAAAGCGGCCACTCACACAGTGGGGGCCCTTTCCCTAGCACTGGCCTCCCGGTGGCAGTGGAGCAGTGGCCTTCCAAGCGTGCACTGCGAGACATGAGTGGGGCAATCTGCTGCTTCCAACTGCAGGAAGAACGGGTCTGCAGAATGAATTCTCTTTCTCCACTCCTCCCATGTGGGGAACGAATGAGAGCCCTCCCGGCGGGGAGAAGCGGGGCTGCAGGAGAGCATGGTGGAAAACCCAGGAGCCGCCTGAGCTAACAGGGAATCAAAAATGACCTTTTTGTGTGCAAAACCCCCTGGGGGAAAAAAAAAAAAAAACTAGAAAGTCGTGGGGATATGGCCAGGTGTGGTGGCTCACACCTATAATCCTAGCATTTTGGGAGGCTGATGTGGGCAGATCACTTGAGGTCAGGAGTATACACATACATATACACACACACACACACAAATGCAAAAACAAGCTCCTGGCCACTGTTCTCTGAGGTCACTACTAACCTGGGTGCACTTGTCTGAGACCAAGTTCTGGGCACAGCTGGAACACCTAAGTCATTGTGGCCACTCAGGCCTCACCTCTGCAGACCACTCTCCCTCCTCCTGGCGGGGGAAGAAAGGTTTCTGGGCTTTGTGAGAGGGAATAGCAGGAGTGTCTGAGTGGGGAACAGCCGAGGAGAAAGCCGGAGCGGATGATGCTGGCCAACATGGCAAAACCCCATCTCTACTAAATATACAAAAATTAGCTGGACGTGGTGGCACATACCTGTAATCCCAGCTACTTGGAAGGCTGAGGCAGGAGAATAGCTTGAACCTGGGAGGCAGAGGTTGCAATGAGCTGAGATCACGCCACTGCACTCTAGCCTGGGCAATAGAATGAGACTCTGTCTAAAAAAAAAAAAAAAAAAAAAAGACAAGAAATAAAGACAAAGAAAGTCGTGGGGATATGACTGATAGTTTCTGTTCAGCTTCTATTATCATTTCTTAACTCATCACCCCAAGCTCCAGGGGGACTCTGGGGGAAGGCTGAGACCAGGTTTGTTCTCAGGCCTGCCTGACAAAGCTCCTCAGGAAAGCATCATCCGCTCCGGCTTTCTCCTCGGCTGTTCCCCACTCAGACACTCCTGCCATGCCCTCACAAAGCCCAGAAACCTTTCTTCCCCCGCCAGGAGGAGGGAGAGTGGTCTGCAGAGGTGAGGCCTGAGTGGCCACAATGACTTAGGTGTTCCAGCTGTGCCCAGAACTTGGTCTCAGACAAGTGCACCCAGGTTAGTAGTGACCTCAGAGAACAGTGGCCAGAAGCTTATTTTCACATTTGTGTGTGTGTGTGTATGTATGTGTATATATATATGTATATGTGTGTGTGTGTGTGTGTGTGTGTATATATATACATAAAATAAGGAGGCACTGGCCCCCAAAGAAGTACTGACAACCACCTCTGGTTAGAGGGCAGTTCTTTGCAGCTTTTGATGACAACCTGCGAGGAGAGAATATTGCTCTCAATTGTTCAAGAAACTGAAAGCTTAGAGAGGTTGAAGCGATTTGCCAAGTTCACGGGCTGGTGACGGAGTGGGCCTCAGAACTCAGATCTTTCTGACTCAAACTGCCTTGTTCTTACCATCCCCTATCTCCCTAGAGGTTGTTAGAACTTTTGGGGACATACTGTTCCTTTATTTTAGAAACTCTTTGGATATAGGGTAGTGGTTGAAGCAGCTCTGAGGATCTGTTTTGAAGAGAAGGGTAGCATTGTTAGACTAGTAGGGTTATTTCCGCTTCCCAAGCTTGTCCCTCCAGACCTTTGAGCCGGTCATCATAATTTTATATTTTATGACCGAAAAGAAACTTCTGTTAAATCATAAATACACTAAAAGCCCTGTATCTCCTTGAGCCTGGAAATCTCCCAGCGATGTGGCAGGAATGTAGAAACAGTCTGAGTTGTCAACAAAACATAACAGATTTCCCAGTTGTAACAAACAGACGTGTAGTTGTGAATGGAAAACTCTCCCAATAAGCAAAATAAGGGCCTTTTTCCGTGTTGTTTTCCTCCTTTACTGTAGCTGTTCTTTCAGAGTGCCGTCAGTTTCAAATGTTTCATTGTATCGATATTTGTACACTTCTAGTAAGCAGAGTGCCCACTACATTATTTTTATTCAACTTTCTCCAGGGTTAAAGGAACTTGTAGTTCAGGTGTCATCTTTCAGATTTACAATTTTACCTAGATTGACAACATGGGGTGGCAAAGCGCTTGGAACTAAGACAGAAAAGTTGGTTCCAGTCCTGGCCTGCCTCTAACTGTGTGTGACTTGAGTAAGACTCAGGAAGAGAGGCTGCTGATACCCACCGCACCTGCCCCCACCCCAGATTGGTTCCAAGGCAAATGTGAAAGATTAGGTGCTCCTGAATGTGCCGTCAGATGTGGTGTGACACAGCCCATTTGTGTGTGCCTGTTTCAAAGCTTTTGGTTCATAGGCCATACTGCCCGCTTTGCTGGAGGAAAGTTCCAAGACCCACACCAGGCTACTCCTTGACAGGAAGCTTTTGTTCCTAGCAACGGGTTTACCAACTGTTTGTTTGTTTGTTTTGAGACAAGGTCTCACTCTGTCCCCCAGGCTGGAGTGCAGTGGTGCGATCTCAGCTCACTGCAACCTCTACCTCCCAGGTTCAAGCGATTCTCCTGCCTCGGCCTCCCAGGTAGCTGGGATTACAGGCGCTGGCCACCACGCCTGGCTAATTTATATATTTTTAGTAGAGATGGGGTTTCACCATGTTGGCTAGGCTGGTCTCAAACTCCTGACCTCAAGTGATTCTCCTGCCTCATCCTCCCAAAGTGCTGGGGTTACAGGCATGAGCCACCCCACCCACCCCCACTCTCTTCTTAATATGCTTCATGCATTTGTTTATGCTCCCCCCACCTGCAACATACTTTGTAGTCTCTGCATGTGTCAGGGCTATTTGCTGGTCTCTTTTCTCTCACCCTGATCTGGCTGTGAGCAGATAATCCCCCATTCCTCAGTTTGGCTGGTACTGCAGTTGGCACAGCTCTCCAAACTCTGCAGCCACCAGACATGTAGAAACAAACCTCTAGGCTTCCCAGGAGGCTCACAGATTGCCTCATGGCTCAGCCCTCAATAGAGATGATCATCTATAAAAATAATAACAAACAATGTTGCTGGTTATAAATGAAATATACGCTCAATAGAAATGGTAGTCTATAAAATTAGAAAATTATGCTGTTATAAATGCAATATATGTCCATTGTAAAAATGTAGAAAACGTAATACATATTAAGGAAAAATATTCACATTTGCCATCGATATATATTTTACATATTTGTATGTTTTTTCAGTATGCACATCAAAGAAAGGGCAGAATCTTCTTTCTTCTCTTAACCTTTTGTCATGAGCAATGCAGTGTTAAGTTTAGGGAAGGAATTGGGTTCTGGAGCCAAACTGCCCAGGTTTGAATTCCGCTCTGTCACTTGCTAGTTGTGCAATACTGCTTTTTTGTTTGGTTTCGTTTATTTTATCTTTTTTTCTTTTTCTTTTTTTTTTTTTTTTTGAGATGGAATCTTGCCCTGTTGACAGGCTGGAGTGCAGTGGCACAATCTTGGCTCACTGCAACCTCCGTCTCTGGGTTCAAACAACTCTCCTGCCTCAGCCTCCCAAGTAGCTGGATTACAAGCGTGTGCCACCACGCCCAGTTAATTTTTGTATTTTTAGTAGATATGAGGTTTCACCATGTTGGCCAAGCTGGTCTCGAACTCCTGACCTCAAATGATCCACCTGCCCTGTCCTCCCAAAGTGCTGGGATTACAGGCGTGACCACCCCTCCCACTGCCTGCCTGCCTTTTACTGAAGTTGTAGATGTCCTCTTCACCTTTTCTCTGAATCCTACCCCTACCCTACCCATGGTGACTCACAGGGTGCTTTGTATACAATAGGGGTGTCATTAATGTTTGTTGAACATAAATGAATTAAAATATGACATTCTAAAAGTGATTTCAAACTTTGGAATTTAGGTTTTGGTGTTTTTGTTTTTTCTTAGAGATGGTCTTGCTTTGTTGCCCAGGCTGCGGTGCAGTGCCACCATCTTGGCTCACTGCAGTCTCAAACGTCTGGGATCAAGTGATCCTCTCACCTCAGTCTCCTGAGTAGCTGGGACTACAGGCACAGTCCACCATGCTCAGCTACTTTTTTTCTTTTTTTTTCTTGTAGAGATGGTGTTTCACTATGTTGCCCAGGCTGGTCTTGAACTCCTAGCCTCAAGCGATTCTCCTGCTTCTGCCTCCCAAAGTGCTGGGATTACAGGCATGAACCACCATGCCTGACCTGACTTTAGACAAGTTATTTGGCATTTATAATTCCACTCTCTCATCTACAAAATAGAGATAATAATAGTACCTACCTCATGGGGCTGTTTTGAGGAATTAACACAAATAAAGCACTTGGAATAATGCTTCGTGCTGTGCAGTAAGCACTCAATAATCTAAGTTGGTAATATTCCTGTTTTTATGCCGTGTTTTAATAAATGTGAACATAACATTTTAAAATCAAGGAGCTGTGATTTCATGCTCTGCACACTGCCTCAGTGGCATAAAGACTGGGACTGAAGCTGGGGCATCACCCCCTCTTTGGTTTCCCCTCTCCTAGGCCCTTACTCACATACACCTCGGAGAGCAGGTACAACCAAGAGGACCTGCATTTCAGTGATGTCCGAGGCCAAGGGACAAGGCCAGATTCTAGTCAGGTGATGATGGAATAAGAGCATTCACTGCACGTGTGTTAATTAATGGAGATGATAAGGGGTCACCAAGCCCTATATATTTATAGTGCTTTATTTTTCATCCAAAAACACAAAGTGCTGTTTAGTCCCCACAACAATCAGGAAAGCGAGGAACTATTCTTCCCATTGAGGGGATGGGAAAGCTGAATCCCCTTGGTGGATGGGGCTGCAGGCTCAGGAACTTGCTCCCCTCAAGCTGTTGTGATCTCACCACAGTCATGACCAGTCACTTGAACAGCTCCCATCGCCCCAGAATGATTCTATAGAGAGGCAGGAGAGCCCTGGACCATGAGCAGGAGGCTTCAGTCCAGGGGCCAGCAGCGAAATCACAGCATCATAGAACATCGTAGAATATAGAACATTATTCTGCCCAGGGCAAAATAATGTGGGCTGCAGAGTCTGGCCCAGGCAGCTCTCAGTGTTGTGCCCACAAGTGTTGAGATGACAGTAGGATGGGGTCAGGCCAGTGATCTTCAAAGTTAGAAGAAGAATCCTATGCCTCAAACCTACTGATTTCCTTTCCAAACCCTCCCTAGAGGGCCTCTAACTGTGGCTGAGGGGAGGGACGACACTTTTTTGATACACGGTGCAACTTGCCCACTTTGACCCTGACCTTTGCTCTGTCCCCTTCAGGTGACCCTGGCAAGTAGCTTTTTAGAGCAGTGGTTCTCAAACTTGAGTGTGTGCAGAATCCCCTGGGGTTGTGGGGGCAGGGCTTTGAAAATACAGATTGCTGGGCCCCACCCCAAGAGTTTCTGATACAGTAGCTCAGGGTTGGGCCCAAGAATTTGTTTTTCTGACATCCAAGTTCCTGGATGCTGCTAGTGGAGAGAACCAGTGATTTGATAGCATTAGTGAGCTGGCTCAATTCTCTGCTCAGGAAAGTGACAGGATGCCTCAAATGCTGAGTGCTGCATATTCAAATTCCAAACACAAGGCAACTAGGATGGGAGCCCTTCTAGACTCTGTGTATTCAAGGACCAGGGAGAGGCTTAGCAGCTCTCAGCTCTCCTGGCACAGAGAGAGTTCTCTGAGGCTTGCTGTTCCTCTCTCCCCTACTTTGATAGTTTCCTCCATTTGTATGGGTGGAGGTTGCAAAAGCCAGAATAGACTGAGTGAGACTGGGAGATGGGGGTGAGTGAGTGTGTTCACTTTTGATGACGAGCAGATGTGACAAGAAGCACTAAAATGGAGGGGGCAATAAGAATTATTACTAGCTGAGGCCGGGCACGATGGCTCACACCTCTAATCCCAGCACTTTGGAAGGCCGAGGCGGGTAGATCACCTGAGGTCAGGAGTTCAAGACCAGCCTGACCAACGTGGAGAAACCCTGTCTCTACTAAAAACAAAATTAGTTGGGCGTGGTGGCGCATGCCTGTAATCACAGCTACTTGGGAAGCTAAGGCAGAAGAATTGCTTGAACCTGGGAGGCGGAAGTTGCAGTGAGCCGAGATTGCACCATTGCACTCCAGCCTGGGCAACAAGAGTGAAAATGTCTTAAAAAAAAAAAAAAATTATTACTAGTTGCTTTGTGGTCAGGATGTGCCAAGCTGGCATTGCAGCATCCGCTGTTAGGGGGCTTTGTGCTATTTGCAAGGGTGTCATCCTCAGCCACTGTTTTCTACGCCGCCCCTCTAGGAATTCCTCTTCTGTGCACCTCCTTGGGCAAGGAGCGTTGAGGTGTGGTGGCTGACATTCAGGAATTACTGTGGAAGCTTGAGTTTGCAAGCCCACTCCGTTTCCTACTCACTAGCTCAGGGGCGGGGGAGTTTCTGAACTATGTTGGCATAGTTGTGGGCTAGACAACTCTCTCTGGTTGTGGGCTAGACACCAGAGTTGCAGAGTTCTCCGTGCACTGCTGTGCATTCCTGGGAGTGCCCCTGAGGGTGGAGCTCTCTGTAAGGAAGGCAGCCCCAAAGGCAGCGCTGTTCTCTGTAGAAAAAAGACTAGGAGTGAGGACACCCGGCGCCCAGGCCTAGCCTTTCCACCCACTCACCTTCACAGTTCCTTCATCCTTTCTGCTTCAGTTCCCTCCTCTGTAACATGAAGTTGGAGTGGATACTTCATTCAGAACATCTTCCGGCTGTAAATGGCTTGAGCCCATTGTCAACTGGAAGACACAGAGAGTGTGACGTCTAAAAACCCAAACAGCAAAGAGCATTTCTTCCAAACCACCCAATCTGGAGAAGTGGGGCAGTTTCGTGGTTCCAGCACCGACACCGTCCCTTTCACACGGTTCTGAGCCGCGGGCTGCTTCAGGGCGGCCCTCCCTGCCCCTGCCTGGCCGGGATGGCAGAGCGGATCAGAAGCGGCGCGCGCTCTGCCTGCGCGCTCTGCCGCCGCAACCCGCGCCGCAGCCAATCCGCTGGTGCACTGCGGGTGACCTCCCCCGGGCCCGGGAATAAATTGTCAAGTTTCCCCACCGCGGGTGTCTTTGCTAGCCGGCGAATTGCAGTCTTCTGGGCTAATTAGGAGACAGTCATGAGGAGCGAGGCGGGCCGGGGCGCTCCGCGGGCCGGGGCGGGGCTGGGGCGGGCGGCGCGCAGCTCCTGGGCCGAGGCATCCGCGAGCCGCGGGTAGATCGCTCGCGTCTGGTCGCCGCCTAGGAGCTCCCGCGGAGCCAGCTGCCAGGACTCGTTCCAGCTCCGGTGCGGGGTCGCCGGGGCGTCCAGAGGCGGCGGGTGAAGTGCCGGCAAGTTTCCCCGGCGCCTGCCAGTGCCAGCGAACCCACCTCGGAAGCCAGACCGGGGGAGGCAGAGGTAGAGGCTGGCTGGCCCCAGTCGTGGTGCCGTGCGGCTGCCTCCCTCGGACTTCCGTCTTGAGTCTCCTGAGGCTGAGAAGCAGCCGAATCTGCCCCCTGTTGTGGACGTACACCTCAAGGCCTAAAATGCGTCCTGCCTGGAGACTTTGAACTTAGTCCTCTGGAAATGCGGTGACCGCTTCGGGTGGTTGGTTTTTCCATCCTCTTCGGCTAGGTTTGGCTTTGGGATTCTGTGGCTACCTGGATACACCTTTCCTTTTTGGGTAAGTCTCCCGCGGATCGCAGCACGAGCAACCAACTCTGGGGCACACGAGCCTTTAAAACCCCCGAGCCTGGAGACGCATGGGGCTAGAGAAGAGGACCCAACTCCTGACCACGTAAGGACTCTGATTCCACCTTTCCCGTGATGGAGAGAAATATAATTTCATGGCAGAATTTTCTTGAAGCACATTGTCTGATAGGATTGGCAATTACTAACCAGGAAAATGAGTAGCAATTAGGAGTTCAGTAATAAATGGAAGTCTATTGTCCTAATTGAGTGGAATTACTGACTGGTAATGGCAACACTGAATTCTTCAGTTTAATTAAGAGTTTATATAATTATAGTGCACTTTTTATTTCTTGGGGGAGCCATGGGGTAGGAATTAAATAACCAGTGTGATGGTTAAGAAACCCATATAATGGATAAGTAACCAATGAGTTGAAATGAATGTGGGTGCCTTGCTGAAGCAATGCAAACTTAGATGAATTTCTGGTAAAGAGATGTAACAGCTTGGGCCAAGCAAGACTTTCAGCTGCTAATTCCTGTCTGATAAAAATCTGAATGGCTTAGAAATGATTAGGTAATCTCTGAAATTGGCACACTGAAACTATTTCAGAGATACCAGAGCTCCCTCTCCCCTGCCGGGGTATTAACCCCGATTTGTGCTCTCTGTCGCTGTGTTTTCCACATTCTTCAAGAATGAAATGAGTGGGTCATTCGAGAGTGCTTTTGCAGTCTGGGGTTTCTGTGTTGAAAATCTTGTGATTGAGCTGTTAAGCTGTAAATGTTGATAGCTGAAGGGGATAGACAAGCTTCACCGAAGTTATTCAGCTTCAAAGCAGAGTGAGTGTGTAGGTGTGCAATTTGTTTGGGAACTAATCTGTAATTATAAAGATGTTATTTTCTCTTTGGAGGTGTATTGTTTCCTTTACTATTATGTTCTCAAGAAATTGTTCCCCTTGTGGGAAGCAGTGAAATTGGAGAGAAATCCCTGCTCAGAGGATAATTTACTTGTATTTTTGGTGTAGGTTTCTGGGAATCCTTTTAACCCTACATTGGGATGTGTATGTTTATTTCCATAAGAAGCTCCAGCAGGTTTGGAAATCACTAGGTTTTGAATACACTGGTAGATAATTAGCACTTCAAGTAACAATATTTATGCCACTCTGTACCTTGACTACTTCTTCTTGCTTACACGAGGTCCAGATTTTCAACAGGATGATCAGGGACTACCTTCTCTAGAGAGCTTGCATATTGCAAGTGGGTTCAGGGAGCATCGTTATAGTTGCATTTCACTCCAGAAGAGACTGAGTGGCACGGAAGGGACATTGCATCTTGAATACTGGATGGGTTTTAAAGTTTGCAGAGCTTATTCATAAATCCCCTTGGTTAATGAGAAAAAAGCAGGTATGGAAAGACGTTTGCTGTATGTGTGCCTCCCAGTCTCAGCCCTTCCCGGTGCTTTGCAGGTCCCTAAGTACAGAGTGTCACTGTCCAGAATTTTAAGGTCTTAGCTACCCTGGTTTTCCCCCTCTCCCCAGCCCTGTTTTGTCATTGCTACCAAGAAAATTTAGCAAAAGTGTAGAAAGTTGTGTCCTTCCATAACCACAGTTTCTCAGTGCAGGTTTACTGTATTGAGCGCCCACTCCTTTTCTGTTTGTATTCTGCCCAAGGCACAGCAGGCATTCACTCCTTTTATTTCCCATGAAATTGTACAACAGGCAGAAGCTTGAAGATACAACATGGATGGAAATTTGAGCCTTGTAACGTTCAAGAATGACAGATTGCCGAGTTTCCTAACTTTTCCTAAGAGTTTATTAAAGATCACAACTTCATATTGCTCCTTTTTCCCTATGCATTTGCCATCCATCACACGCCTGACTGTGAGCTGTTACAATAGCTAGATGAGGTTTAAAAAAAGAGGGAGTAGGGGCTTAAGGATTGCTGTCCTCTCAGAAATGTTGCCCAAGGCTACCCTAAGGCTCAGCCTACCCCAAGATTCTCTTTCTGACAAGTGGGTGTTTGGTAGGATGGTGTGAAAGTTTCCTTCTATGATAACATCCTTAAGATTGGTTTCCAAATTCCCTTTTTTTCTTTTGGTAACCTGCTGAGAATATGAGTCTGTGACCTATATATTTATCTGAAATCAGCCTGAACAGATAGGAAAACTGAGTTACAAAGTATGGGACTCTCAGTAAATTAAGAACAGATGTAGGTCAAAAACAGATTTCCAAACTCTTTATCAAATGATCCCACTTGGAAACAAGACACGAACTGGCCTAACTGCTCTTAGAATGCAAGGTTTGTCTGAGGGCAGACATGCTGGAAAAGATGGCCACCACCCTGCCTCTACTTTTCTTTTCATCTTTCTTCCCACCCAGTCTTTGGTTCCCTGAATAGGCTGTGTAGTTGGGTATCAGTCAGCACTTGTCTGCTGGTTGCGCAATGCAGATTACTCATTTCTGCCCAAGTAACTCCCTGAAGCCATATTGTAACAATAGAGCATATAAAAAAGAAACTCAAGTTGATCTTGGCCCCTGTCCAAGGGGATTAGTTAGGGAGCACCTGAAAGGCCTGTGTTGAACACACTCACCTGTAACCCAATTCCATGGCCTGGATCTCAAGGACAGGGTAATCTCAGTACTTTTTAATGACCTAGTAAGTGTGGTATCTTTCTCCCTTTACACTCGACCTGATGGCTCATAGGGTCTTCCCATTATGGAGCCGGAGGAGTACTTTGAGGTCATCTAGGCCCTCATCACTCAAAGTGTGGACCATGGGACAGCAGCGTTGGCATCGTCAAAGAGCCTGTTAGAAATGCTGAACCTCAGATCCATCCCTGGATTTATAGAATCAGAATCTGCAACAAGTTCCCCAGATTTCTCATACGCATTATGACAAGTGGGGTTCTCCCATGATCCAACTCTGCGATGGGGTTTAGCCAGTGGCGTATTTATTAAGGGGTTCCCTTTGGATCAATACTTAAAGGGAAGGAGGAGGAAGGAAATAGGTAGGTAGAGCAAGAAGTCAAGCAGCAATACAGGCCCAGTGATAGTCATCACTAACAACACGGGAAGCTACAGAGCTAGATCGGCCTTCTAAGTTGTCTCTGGTGGGCAGGGATGGCCAGACCTTTCAACTCACTGCAGACAGCACTCCCAGCAGTTGGTAGCAAGTCTGTCATTAGACAGGGATCTGGGGAGCTCATCACAGTGTCCACCACATGCAGTGAAGTTGGGAGAAGCTCTCTTCTGGGTCACTGGTTCTCAAAATGTGGCTCCATACCAACGGGACCTTCAGCACCCTGGGGACTCCTTAGAGATGCACATTCCTGAGCCCTACCCACAGCTACTAAATCAGAAACTAGGGTGGGGCCCAGCAACCTGTGTTTTAACACGTTCTCCAGGTGAGTGCTGCATGCCCACGTTTCAGAACAGCTGCCCCAAGGCAGCCTTTTTTCTGTTTGTTTTGTTTTTTAATAACTGTTATTGAAATGATTCACAGTCCATCTTAATAATAAAAACACTTTAAAGTGTACAATTCAGTAATTTTGTTTTGTGGGTTTTCGTTTTGTTTTGGTTTTTTTTTGTTTTTGTTTTGTTTGTTTTTGAGACAGAGTCTTGCCCTGTTGCCCAGGCTGGAGTGCGGTGGCTCCATCTTGGCTCACTGCAACCTCTATCTCCTGGGTTCAAGGGATTCTCTTGCCTCAGTCTCCCAAGTAGCTGGGACTACAGGCGCCCGCCACCACTCCTGGCTAATTTTTATATTTTTAGTAGAGACGGGGTTTCACCATGTTGGCCAGGCTGGTCTGAAACTCCTGACCTCAAGTGATCCACCTACCTCAGCCTCCCAAAGTGCTGGGATTACAGGCATGGGCCACCAAGCCTGGCCCAATTCAGTAATTTTTTTTTTTTTTTTTTTTTTTTTTTTGAGACGGAGTCTGGCTCTGTCGCCCAGGCTGGAGTGCAGTGGCGCGATCTCGGCTCACTGCAAGCTCCGCCTCCTGGGTTCACGCCATTCTCCTGCCTCAGCCTCCCGAGTAGCTGGGACTACAGGCGCCCACAACTGCGCCCGGCTAATTTTTTTGTATTTTTAGTAGATACGGGGTTTCACCGTGGTCTCGATCTCCTGACCTTGTGATCCGCCCGCCTCGGCCTCCCAAAGTGCTGGGATTACAGGCGTGAGCCACCACGCCCGGCCAGTAATTTTTAATATATTTATAACCTGTTTAGTATATTTGCAACCCTCACCCTTACTTCCAGAACATTTTCATCATTATCCCCAAAAGAGATCCCACACCCATTAGCAATCACTCTCTACACCCCCTCCCGAAGTCTGGCAACCACTAATCTGCTTTCTGTCACTGAATATGCCTATTCTTGATACTTCATTTAACTGGAGTAATGCAGTATGTGGCTTTTGCGTCTTGTTTCTTTACATTTTGAGAG